CGCCGGACGGACGGACGGACGGACAACGCCATACCATAATACTCCAGTCAAATTTGACGGGCATATAAAAATAGATTATTGTTATTTGAACTAAAACGATTAAACATGTCAATTTTCTGCTGTTAAAAGTCTGCGCTAGTCATGAAAGCCTACTGAATGTAACTTACTTTTCTCCGCCTCAATCTGTTTAGCTTCCTCAATCTGCTGCAGTCGCCTCTGCTTGGCCTCCTGTTTGGCTTTCTCCTCTTTCTCCGCATTGTACTTAATCGCTACAGAGAAACAAAGGGCACATGATAACTGTAACAGACAGCTCCACTGTTTACATGTATTCTATGTTGTTTAAATATTGATGTTTCAGCTTTAATGCTACTAACATCTTTTGATCCTATATGATCCCTAGTTGAAAATCCAATGTAGGGAGACAATATCACAATTTCTGCATATTCTAATGTTTAATATTAAACTGATCAATATTGTATGTTTATTATTGACATAACAGTGTATTCTTTCAATATTAAAGTATTTCAAAGCAATCCAGGCATTAATTCAGTTGTTTTTTATCAATGAGTCACATATATATGTGTCCATTTTTCTGTACTTCAGGAAACCGGCTACCTATTTCACAACTGTGAAGTTTTTCAAGTAAGATAACTCTTACATGCAATTACTATGTGTATATGGTTTTATTATAAAATGTCAATTTTTAATCGTTTATAGATAATTAATTTGACACAATTTCAGCATTCATGAAATTGATATACATTAATGCAATACTAATCTATGTCAGTATCTTTTTCATTGACATTATTTTGCAAAAAATTGTGTTTCATTTTTTTTTCAAAATTCACTCCTTTTTACATAAATTTCTATTTAAAATCCTTAAAATTCCGCCAACCTTTATTTTTCTTGTGGCAGAACATTTTCTTTACTTCAAAGCAATATATACAAAATTTGAAGAATTCTACTGAGAAATGGTGACACCTACAATCCTATTACTTTAATCCCAAATCTAAACTCCAATCAGAATAATGTCACAATACGTTTTGTGAAACTAAAGCTAGGCTTCATCACTCCACAATGAAAAGTTACTTCTCCAATCAATATCCACATTTTGATCATTTGAAGTGTGATGTCATGTATCATGTGATGTGTCATGTGATGTGTCATGTGTCATATCATGTGATGTGTCATATCATGTGATGTGTCATGTGACATACCAATGTTTGGGACAGCCAGGGCATAAATTCCATCGATGGAGGCTATCACAGGCTCTGTATACAAGTTCTTCCAGGGAATCTTCAACGTCAGTTTTCCTGGAAAATACAACATTATAATGAACTTCATATCCACTGATAAAACATTATACTATAGACATACACATATAGGTATTGTACTCATATTTCTTAGTGCCAGGAGTTCCAGGAACAACTAGCTGCATTTGACCAGTGTGTGTTCGTAGACAGAAGTTCGAGTCCCAGTGACCCTGTGTTTTGTGTTTGACCAGTGTGTACCTAGACAAAGGTTTGAGTCCTAGTGACCCTGTGTTTTGTGTTTGACCAGTGTGTACATAGACAAAGGTTGGAGTCCTTATAGTGACCCTGTGTTTTGTGTTTGACCAGTGTGTACATAGACAAAGGTTCGAGTCCTTATAGTGACCCTGTGTTTTGTGTTTGACCAGTATGTACATAGACAAAGGTTGGAGTCCTATAGTGACCCGGTCTTTTGTGTTTGACAAGTGTGTACATAGACAAAGGTTTGAGTCCTAGTGACCAGGTCTTTTGTGTTTGACAAGTGTGTACATAGACAAAGGTTGGAGTCCTAGTGACCCGGTGTTTTGTGTTTGACCAGTGTGTACATAGACAAAGGTTCGAGTCCTTATAGTGACCCTGTGTTTTGTGTTTGACCAGTGTGTACATAGACAAAGGTTGGAGTCCTTTTAGTGACCCTGTGTTTTGTGTTTGACCAGTGTGTACATAGACAAAGGTTGGAGTCCTTTTAGTGACCCTGTGTTTTGTGTTTGACCAGTGTGTACATAGAGAAAGGTTCGAGTCCTTATAGTGACCCTGTGTTTTGTGTTTGACCAGTATGTACATAGACAAAGGTTGGAGTCCTATAGTGACCCGGTCTTTTGTGTTTGACCAGTGTGTACATAGACAAAGGTTCGAGTCCTAGTGACCCGGCGTTTTGTGTTTGACAAGGGTGTACATAGACAAAGGTTGGAGTCCTATAGTGCCCCGGTTTTTTGTGTTTGACAAGTGTGTACATAGACAAAGGTTCTAGTCCTAGTGACCCGGTCCTTTGTGTTTGACAAGTGTGTACATAGACAAAGGTTCTAGTCCTAGTGACCCGGTCCTTTGTGTTTGACAAGTGTGTACATAGACAAAGGTTGGAGTCCTATAGTGACCCGGTCTTTTGTGTTTGACCAGTGTGTACATAGACAAAGGTTGGAGTCCTAGTGACCCTGTGTTTTGTGTTTGACAAGTGTGTACATAGACAAAGGTTGGAGTCCTATAGTGCCCCGGTTTTTTGTGTTTGACAAGTGTGTACATAGACAAAGGTTGGAGTCCTATAGTGACCCTGTGTTTTGTGTTTGCCAGTGTGTACATAGACAAAGGTTTCGAGTCCTAGTGACCCGGTGTTTTGTGTTTGACCAGTGTGTACCTAGACAGAAGTTCGAGCCCAGTACATGTATATGACCAGGAGTGAGATCTATATCCAGCCCAGTACATGTATATGACCACGAGTGAGATCTATATCCAGCCCAGTACATGTATATGACCATGAGTGAGATCTATATCCAACCCAGTACATGTATATGACCACGAGTGAGATCTATATCCAGCCCAGTACATGTTTATGACCAGGAGTGAGATCTATATCTACCCCAGTACATGTATATGACCAGGAGTGAGATCTATATCCAGCCCAGTACATGTATATGACCAGGAGTGAGATCTATATCCAGCCCAGTACATGTATATGACCAGGAGTGAGATCTATATCCAGCCCAGTACATGTATATGACCAGGAGTGAGATCTATATCCAGCCCAGTACATGTATATGACCAGGAGTGAGATCTATATCCAGCCCAGTACATGTATATGACCAGGAGTGAGATCTATATCCAGCCCAGTACATGTATATGACCAGGAGTGAGATCTATATCCAGCCCAGTACATGTATATGACCAGGAGTGAGATCTATATCCAGCCCAGTACATGTATATGACCAGGAGTGAGATCTATATCCAGCCCAGTACATGTATATGACCAGGAGTGAGATCTATATCCAGCCCAGTACATGTATATGACCAGGAGTGAGATCTATATCCAGCCCAGTACATGTATATGACCAGGAGTGAGATCTATATCCAGCCCAGTACATGTATATGACCAGGAGTGAGATCTATATCCAGCCCAGTACATGTATATGACCAGGAGTGAGATCTATATCCAGCCCAGTACATGTATATGACCAGGAGTGAGATCTATATCCAGCCCAGTACATGTATATGACCAGGAGTGAGATCTATATCCAGCCCAGTACATGTATATGACCACGAGTGAGATCTATATCCAGCCCAGTACATGTATATGACCACGAGTGAGATCTATATCCAGCCCAGTACATGTATATGACCACGAGTGAGATCTATATCCAGCCCAGTACATGTATATGACCACGAGTGAGATCTATATCCAGCCCAGTACATGTATATGACCACGAGTGAGATCTATATCCAGCCCAGTACATGTATATGACCACGAGTGAGATCTATATCCAGCCCAGTACATGTATATGACCACGAGTGAGATCTATATCCAGCCCAGTACATGTATATGACCACGAGTGAGATCTATATCCAGCCCAGTACATGTATATGACCACGAGTGAGATCTATATCTAGCCCAGTACATGTATATGACCACAAGTGAGATCTATATCCAGCCCAGTACATGTATATGACCACGAGTGAGATCTATATCTACCCCAGTACATGTATATGACCACGAGTGAGATCTATATCTAGCCCAGTACATGTATATGACCACGAGTGAGATCTGTATCTAGCCCAGTACATGTATATGACCACGAGTGAGATCTATATCCAGCCCAGTACATGTATATGACCACAAGTGAGATCTGTATACAGCCCAGTACATGTATATGACCACGAGTGAGATCTGTATCTAGCCCAGTACATGTATATGACCACGAGTGAGATCTATATCCAGCCCAGTACATGTATATGACCACGAGTGAGATCTATATACAGCCCAGTACATGTATATGACCACGAGTGAGATCTGTATCTAGCCCAGTACATGTATATGACCACGAGTGAGATCTATATCCAGCCCAGTACATGTATATGACCACAAGTGAGATCTGTATACAGCCCAGTACATGTATATGACCACGAGTGAGATCTGTATCTAGCCCAGTACATGTATATGACCACGAGTGAGATCTATATCCAGCCCAGTACATGTATATGACCACGAGTGAGATCTATATCCAGCCCAGTACATGTATATGACCACGAGTGAGATCTATATCCAGCCCAGTACATGTATATGACCACGAGTGAGATCTATATCCAGCCCAGTACATGTATATGACCACGAGTGAGATCTATATCCAGCCCAGTACATGTATATGACCACAAGTGAGATCTGTATACAGCCCAGTACATGTATATGACCACGAGTGAGATCTGTATCTAGCCCAGTACATGTATATGACCACGAGTGAGATCTGTATTTAGCCCAGTACATGTATATGACCACGAGTGAGATATATATCCAGCCCAGTACATGTATATAACCATGAGTGAGATCTATATCCATAGACGGGGAGACATAGACGGGGAAGCATAGACAGAGACGCATAGACAGGGAGACATAGACAGGGAGGCATAGACGGGGACGCATAGACGGGGAGGCATACACAGGGAGGCATACACGGGGAGACATAGACGGAGAGGCATAGACGGGGACACATAGACAGGGAGAAATAGAAGGGGAGGCATAGACGGGGAGACATAGACGGGGAGACATAGACAGGGAGACATAGACGGGGAGGCATAGACCGGGAGGCATAGCCGGGGAGGCATAGACGGGGACACATAGACGGGGAGACATAGATGGGGAGGCATAGACAAGGAGACATATACAGGGAGGCATAGACAGGGACACATAGACAGGGAGGCATAGACGGGGAGGCATAAACGGGGAGGCATAGACGGGGACTGGGAGGCATAGATGGGGAGGCATAGACGGGGAGGCATAGATGGGGAGGCATAGACGGGGAGGCATAGACAAGGACGCATAGACAGGGAGACATAGACAGGGAGGCATAGACGGGGAGGTATAGACGGGGAGGCATAGACGGGGAGGCATAGCATAGACGGGGAGGCATAGCATAGACGGGGAGGCATAGACAGGGACGCATAGACAGGGAGACATAGACAGGGAGGCATAGACGGGGAGGCATAGCATAGACGGGGAGGCATAGACGGGGACACATAGAAGGGGAGACATAGATGTGGAGGCATAGACAGGGACGCATAGACAGGGAGACATAGACAGGGAGGCATAGACGGGGACGCATAGACAGGGAGGCATAGACGGGAAGGCACAGTTGGGAAGGCATAGAAGGGGACGCATAGACAGGGGACATAGACAGGGGGACATAGAGGGAGAGACATATACGGGGACGCATAGACGGGGAGACATAGGCGGGGGGACATAGACAGGGAGGCACAGACGGGGACGCATAGACAGGGAGACATATACGGGGACGCATAGACGGGGAGACATAGACGGGGAGGCATAGACGGGGAGACATAGACGGGGATGCATAGACGGGGACGCATAGACGGGGAGACATAGACGGGGAGGCACAGACGGGGAGACATATACGGAGAGGCATAGAAGGGGAGACATAGACGGGGAGGCATAGACGGGGAGACATAGTTGGGGACGCATAGACGGGGAGACATAGACAGGGAGGCACAGACGGGGACGCATAGACGGGGTGGCATAGACGGGGAGAAATAGACAGGGAGGCATAGACAGGGAGACATAGACAGGGAGGCACAGACGGGGAGACATAGACGAGGAGACATAGACAGGGAGGCACAGACAGGGAGACATAGTTGGGGACGCATAGACGTGGGTGGCATAGACGGGGAGACATAGACAGGGAGGCACAGACAGGGAGGCATAGACAGGGAGGCACAGACAGGGAGACATAGACAGGGAGGCATAGACAGGGAGGCATAGAGGGGGACGCATAGACGGGGAGACA